TTTATTCTCTTACGCTCATATCCACTTAGCATCTGGCAATTTTACTCACCGTTACTGCTATTATGGGCTGGGCCGGCATTTTTGTCTGCTAAAATCGATTTGTAAACGTAAGAGAACGTGAACTTGGCGAAGAGTAAAGCGATTTAAGGGAACGTAATATTTATACATATTGTACCAGTCTGCAGTGGCCTTTGCCGGTGTAAAATATATACATTTATAAATACTAAATTTGTGATAGGTTATGTAGGTTATTGACAGATTGCGGTGGGTTGAAATATGTTATGTTACAATAAAAAGATTAAAACAATTAATACGTTCGAAATAGATGATATTAATAAGGTGGAGAAAAAATAATAACAGCAAAAATATTTAATAATTTTTTTAGATGAACATATGTATATATGTATGTATGTATGCACTTTACATAATGTTATGTAGATTGACCAGATTGGATAAGTTTACTAAGAAATGAAATGAAATTCCAATTCAGACAGTGATACTAAATATAGTATTAATTATCATGATCTTAATTTAAGCCTTCATTTTTAGATCGAAATTATTTTATTGGTAAATGATTTCGATACCGAAGCTTCTAAAATTCGTTGAAGCAGTAGATAATCATTCATCTACTTTAATTTCATTTTACTTTGTTATTTCTATTTTAATATGTGTCATTTCATTTTTATAATTTATTTTATTTTATTTAATTTGAATTTAATTTTACTTTATTTTCTTTTATTTTATCAATTTTTATTTTAATTTATTTTACTTCATTTCAATTATTTTTTATCTTTTTTTATTTTATTTTAATAATTTTATTATATTTTATTTTAATTATTTTATTTTGTTTTATTTTATTTATCTTATTTATATAAATTAAATTTTTTTTTGCTTTACTTTATTTTTTTTATCTTATTTCATATAACTTTATTGTATTTTATATAATTGTTTTATTTCATTTATTTTGGTGTTTTTTATTTTACTCAATTTTTTTTTTTGGTGTATTTTAGTATATTTTAAATTTATATTTTTATTTTATTTAAATTATTTTATTTTATTTTTTTTTTTTTGTTATTTCATCGTATTTTAATTATTTTATTTTAATTATTTTGTTTTATTTTATTTTTTTATTTATTTTATTTTTTTTTATTTATTTTATTTTTTTTTTATTTATTTCATTTTATTTTATTTAATTTAATTTTTGTTTTATTTTGCTTTATGTTATTTTTTTATCTTCTTTCATTTAATTTTATTGTATTTTTTACAATTATTTTATTTCATTCAATTTTATTTTATTTTAATGCATTTCATTTTATTTTATCTTATTTCGTTTCACTTTATTTCATTACAGTTTATTTTATTTTATTTCTTTAAAGTTTATTTAATTTTCTTTCTCTTAGATTTTTATTTTAATAATTTAATTGGTTTTATTTAATTTTATTTGCATTTTTTTTATTTTTCAATGTATTTAATTTCATTTATGTTTTTCTTGTCTCCCATTTTATTTTATCTAATTTTTTTTCTATATTTAAACTCTGTTGTTTGAGTTTTATGATACATATGTATATATGTAGGTACGTATATGGTAGCAATGGGCAGATACAACTAACTTAAAAGATGGGCGTCGCATTATTGCAACTGAAGAAATGTCAGAAACCGTTTTTATACTGGTCAAACTTACATATACCTACAGAGTATCTATGTATGTATGTACATACATGCTCGTATGTATTGTACTTGTGGATGAACCTTAAAAAATGAAGCGGTGAAAAACAACTGAAAACTTAATATTTGCAATATTGAGCAATTTTCCTCGAACAAGCAAACAAACTAACTCAGCTACTATCAATATATAGGTACATATAATATGTATGTACATACATGCCATATATGCTTTTGTAATTTAAACTCTTTTATTACGGTGTTCAGAGTTAGCTTTTAACTGAATTTTTGACTGTTAATTTTTCTGTACGCACAACGAAATTGGGCACAAAAAAGGTGAACGTAAAAGAAAAAATGTACATATATACATATGCACGTATGTATATGTAAATAAACCATTATATATTTGGAACTCTTATTTACCTATAATGATTTGGACGTACGCACATAAATATGTACATACGTGCACATTTGTGAATTTACACGTACACGTATGTGATTGCTTTTGGTATACGAGTATGTTCATATGCGAGTACAATACAAGTTCAACGCCGACCTTCAGTTTATTCATATGAACTTATGAATTTTGTTTAACTAAAATATTATATTTTTGAAGCGTTTTGGCGCACAGGTTGGTATGTAACTGCATATATTATATACATATATACATACATAAGTGTGTATATGAATATATACAAATAAATCTTACATAGCATATACATATATTACCAACATTTTTTGCTGAAAAAAAAAACTGGTTATTAATTGTAAATGATTCATAAGACGCATAGTTTGAAATGAGTAATGGGAAGTCAGTCCGATAATCAAACTTTTTTTAGCATTAACTGATAATAAAGGTAAATCACAAGCAAAATTGATGATGTGTGATAAAACCACTGACTTATTTTTTATGTGTACATATGTATACATACTATACTCGTGTGTATTTACGGTCAAAGTAAAAAAAGAGTATCCGAGCACCATAACTTAAAAGGAACTCACTGTTATCTAATAGTAATTAATTGTGACTAAGAAAAAGTGAATAATGTATAATTGGAGCAAGAGAATGTCAGGCGAAAAGACACAGAAACCGAAATATAAAATTATATGCGTGTAAAAAACGAATCTATAAATGCATATGCAGTTAATATGTGCCTATGAGCCACTATATCTATATGAGTACATACATATATTATATAACGAATATGTGCATAAGTATGTACAAATGTGTGAATATAAATTGAAATTGAAAAATTTTAATAACTTCAAGCTGTTCATATTTGATGAATTAAAATTCCAGTATTAATATAAAAATATCTCATTTAGCACAAAACAATTACGAGAAAAACACTCTACAAAAGTTGACCGCCTCATATACATAGTTTGCAGCTCTCTTTCGAAATACAGCAACACTTCAAAAAATGTGGAAATGTATAAAAGATAATGCAGTACACATACATACATATGTACCTACATACATATATGTGAATGGCAAAATCAACTACAAAACGCAATGCACGCAAATTTTCAAACTCAGCTGTTGCCCCAACCAACAAAGAGGCTTTATTCTCCTACAGACTCATCACTCATTTGATTGCAAGCTTTATTTTCTAACATACATATGTACGTACATATGTATGTGTATATATACATCCAAATGTAAAACATCATCATTCAAACATAAATATTTGCTCCCAAACAGTGAAAAACTCCGTCAATATCTAAAAAGCACCTATTGCATATAGCAAGTTATATTTGAAGAGGGTTTTGAATCATTTTCGACTTTGTGTTATACTTAAAAAATTTAAAAAATAATGTTTAGAAAATATAAAAAAAATTAATACAAGCCTAAGCAATGATTTCAATAACTAAGGAGAATTCCGTTGAAGATAATATTTTTCAATTTTCCTATATTTTCAAAAAATAAATTAAATACAAAAACCTCAATAAGGTACAAAAAAACTATAAATTGATATGCTTATTGTATTATCATTCTACGTACATTTGTCAATTAAATAAAATATGTTTGGTTATCTCACAATTAACTTTTTTAAGCTCAAAGTGCCAATAATCGTACACTGTGCGGTCAATTGGGTGAGAATGGCAATTGTTTGACTCTCCACTTGCGCTTACTTGCAATGCCGCATGCCGCACTACACCGGATCATACGATAAAATATTTGGTGCTCTCACGTCATAATGTGCCGCGATTTTCTGGGTCTGTATTTATACATACATATATATATTCACACTGGTGGAAAAAGTAATAGTAACAAAGCCACGAACCAAATTTCTAAAATCATCTAGTATTCCAAGTGAAATGTGCCGTCGTGCCGATAAAAAGTTAGTTGAATTAAGATTTTCTAAGATACAAATGTATGTATATTTTTAACATTTTTTGCATGAGGCCCACAAACCATTAAGCAAAAAAAAAAAACTATTTTCCGAAAATATGTACGCATATCCATACGACAGTTTAACTTAATATTTCCCTATTATTTGTTTGTTGCCTTTATATTTCCAACTAGCATACCAAAAATTAATTAAATCTTCGTAAGCTATTTAAGTAATACACATGTAAATACATTTGTACAGGATCTTCTTCGAATTTTATTTTTGATCTGTGCAAAATTTACGGTGTGGACAACATTAAAAACGTGTCAAAAAAAGAAAATAATTGCTAATTTTTCCACTAGTGTACACCCATATACGTGTTGTAATATGTACATACATATATGCGTGCACGAGCGTCTGTCTTACTATACATACATTCATATGTATGTCGGAACATTAGCCTAATACCTGCGTGTATGTACGATAAAGAGCAAATGTCTGGTGACGGCAACACGCAGCAAAATCATGTTCATTCAGCACTTTGTGTACGATACATATTTATCGTTAAGAGATTTTTGCAAGCACGAAGAGAATTACGTTACAAGCACAAAATTCATACAGGCATATTTAAATATTGTGATATATAGCACAAATATAGCATGGGAGGGTTGGGAGGGGCTATCTGTAGCTGCAGCGCATACATTCAACATACATATGTATGCCTACTTTTGTGCTAACCTTAAGCGCCTGTCTTTTTATGAATTTATGAACGCACTGCCCCTTCCATTTTCATTAGTACACAAATGTAAAAATAATTTATTGTTATGATTTTTAAATAATATTTGTCACTAACTAAGTCATCTCGCTTCGCGAAAATTTCGCATTCTTTTGGTGCACGTCATTGCTACAGCACTTGTCTTGGTCAGTTTTAATCATTGGTGAGTAGTCTGTCTGCTCATTGGCATGAATATATAATATTTATATTTTAATACATTTTACACCTACCGACTGTTCTCCAGTTTAGACATCTCTCTGAATCCGCTCATATTGCAATTTTTATATGTAATTTTTCCTTTTAGGTTTTAATAATCAACAGCACTCGTTGCGTTCACAATAATTCGGCGCTTTTTGCTTATGCAATTGTCTCTTTTGATACTTTCCGTACAATTTTATTAACTTTTCGCACTACGAAAGGCTTTGGTGTTTGTTATGCTTTGTTTGCTTCGTGGGTGTTTTTAATTTCTTTTTTTTTTTTTTTGTTTTGCTTTGTATTTAAAATTGCTTTTCTCAATAAAATCACGCCACCGATCGTTACACTTTTTTGCTTTTATGTTTTCTTTACGTGTCAAAACTAAAAAATCCAATTCAATCTCTTGACACTTTCACTTGAGCCTTCTATGCTAAATTTTGAGCAAAATCAGATATGAAGTTAGCGTAAATTATTCGATCAAACTACCGATTTTGTACCGTTGGTAACCGAATAATTAAAGATTTTGATCGAATGGCAAATTGAAATTTCAAAAACAATTCAGCACGGTTTACTCCTTTTTCGAGTTTTATTGAATTATTGAATTATACATATGCACGTTGCTTTATGGGTGTCGCTTAGTAGCTTCTCAGTGGAGCTTTTGCGTGTAAAAGTGTACATACAATTGTGCATACATACATACGTACATATGTATCTAAAATTGAAGCTCAGCTGACCACTTTTGATTCTCCGGCTGCTGTCGCGAATTTTTACTTATAACCAGATGACTCGCTGGCACTGTGATTTTTCACTTTAAAACAACTTTGTGCGAATTACAAAAAAATTTCATAAAAAAAAAATAATATTTTGCTCAGTCACTTTTGCAAACTTTTGACTTTAATATTTTCGATATTTTCGTTGCGAACGCTACTTCGACGTTGTATTGTATTGTACTTTTTTGCTTGTATCCAACAACTGCTATAAATGTTCATAAAATTGGCGTGGCTTTATTTGCGAAACCCCGAAAACTTTGAAAAAATTTCACAAGTTGAAACTTCACTAAAAGAACACCGAATGAATGTACAAGTATCTCATAGATACAATGAACTATGTAGACCGAGCGCTGCTATACAAATGACAGCCCACCAAATGTGAAGCAACTTTTTGTATGCAGACTGAGAGTAGCAGGCAAGCGGTGAGCTTGTTGTGACGGCGATGACGTAGTCATTCGGCCACGGCGTTTCTGTGAGTTTTGTAAGTTAACGAGAGAGGGAGTTGAATTAAGAGAGTGAACGGTGAAAATGTACTCAGTTAATATAAATTGGAATTGAATTAAAGAATTTTAGAATTGGTTTCATTAAAACATTTATTATAAACTGAAAAGATTGATATTGGAGATCAAAAGTATTTTGAAACTCCTTGGAATGCAGTGTATTGTAGAAGCATTTAGAAAATGGATAATTCGTGCGTGGCTGTAGTATTTGAAATCCGTTAAATGGTTTTAAATGTCAAAATTTAGAACATACATACAATACTATTTATACTTATGTACGTGTATGTATTTATACACGTAAATTATTATTAATTACATGTGTTTTGGAAAAGTTCAAAATTCTTTCACAGTTCGTAAATTTTATTACTACGAGTGTTTTCCAGAATTAATCGTACAATTGAATGACATTTCAACCATATTCGCCTTCTCCACACTTATTTTTTAATTCGTAATTAAAAACTTTCTTAATTACACACAAAGTGCACGAAATGCACTCATCCCGAAAAATGTAAATTAAATATTTTTTGCTTTTAATGCCCTTAATTCCCTGCTAATAACCTCAATGTACATCTCCTTCTTTAAATCAAGGGTTAATTTTTAGATTGTACCTTTGTCGCCGCAGTAGTCCAAACTCTAATTATCATGCGCTACCGACAGCCTATACCTTGTGCTCTTATTAATATTCTTTCTTTTATCTGAAACGAGAATAAAGAAAACGCTAAATGACGGCTCTTAGAAGTAATATGGCGCTCTTAAATATATCTGTAAAGAGTACGTACTGCAATCATTATGATGTTTCCACTTTAATGCTCATTACTTGCAGCTCACACATCAAATTAATAATTGTGTGTGTAAATTTATTTACAATCGGCTCTCTCAGTAATAAGGGTAGTGTTGCACATAATACGTTACATTTAAAATTATCCAATTGCAATCTCTCAGAACACGCTTAACGTGAGTTAAATTTCACATTAATTACAACTAACTACTTACATATATGTATATGTATTTATATATATATATGTAAATACATAAGATATTCCATTTTATCAGCTTTTTGTGACTAAAAGTGCCTGTTGAAGAAATTTAATTTCTTAACACATTCGCTGTTCTTCCTCTCTCTTTCTCTTAATTTCAAATTTATACTCTCCAAACTGATTCCAATTAGCAATGTAGCAAACAGTGTTGTCTACCACCAAAAAGGGTAATTTTATAGATTTTTATTATATAGATGTAAGAAATGGAGAGACGCAAATTTTGGTAAACGGCTTGAAAAGGCGAAATGACTCAGTCTGTGAAGTCTAGGATTCTTCAAAGTATACTTCATTATTCAAACTATTTAAGACAGAGCCGCGGAATTACATAATAAACTATATATAACTATATATCACTAAATCAAAGATATAATTCCGTTTCGCTAATTAAAAAAACCAACTAAATCAAGGAAATGAAATCGTTAACGTTGAAACCGTAGAAAATGGCTGCTTACTATGCTTTTACAGCACATTTCAATTTTAACGTTTCACATAATCTGTTAACGATTTAACATTAACGACAGCTCTTCGTTTCGAGTGAACTATAAAATCATGTTTATTTACATTTCATACTTATCACATATCCTCGAAATGGACTAACATTAGCGGCTCGCCGTAAGAAATACTTACGAGGTGTGTTCAAAAAATATCACGATTTTTGAATTGTCGCGGGTTACGTATAATGGAATTTCGATTTTTTTGTGGCGTTATGTTGGTACTCATGTCTGTCACTTATGCCGAAAAGCTCGACCATTTTGAATGTTCACTTAATTGTTAATAGCTGTATTTCTTGCACGTGTTTTGGATGGTCTTTGATTTTTACCTATTCAAAAAAATGGATCAAAGAACCTGTATCAAATTTTGTGTGAAAAACGAAATTAAGTGCGCGGATGCATTCCGAATGTTGACTGTGGCATACGGAGAAGCTACCTTGACCGAAGCAACGTTTATCGGTGGTACAAAATGTTCTCAGAAGGCCGAGAAGATGTGAACGACGAAGAGCGTGGCGCACGCCCGAGCACTTCAACAGCAGACGAAAAAATTAATTGGAGGGGCGTGGTGCATCATGAGTTCTTGCGACAGGGTAGAACGGTCAATGAGGAATATTACCTGCAAGTTATGCGCAATTTGAGAGAAGCAATCTGCCAGAAACGCCCGGATTTGTGGAAGAACAAAAATCGTTGCTTGTGCGCGAATTTTTTGCCCCTGAGACTTTTTCTTGTTCCGTAAACTGAAGAGGCCCATGAAAGGACGAAGTTACGCTACGATTGACGAGATAAAGACGGCATCGAAGGAGGAGCTGAGCAAAATAAAAAAATAATTTTTTGAAGTGCTTCGAAGATTGGAAAAACCGTTGGCACAAGTACATAATATCTCATGGGGATAACTTTGAAAGGGAAAAAATAGATATTCATGAATAAATAAATAATTTTTAAAAAAACACAAAATTCGCGATATATTTTGAAATTTATACTAAGCCCTGCCGAGAGGCAACCGCAATTAGAAAATTTAGCTTAATTATTTATTTAAATTCATTTTCTATAACTTTTGGATGTTGGTCGCACGGGACTATAAACACAGAAAATTGGAAAGCGAACATTTCTGATGGACCACAAGAGGCAACTTGCGAAGATCCACAATTTTTCAAATAATTGACTGAAGTCGATTTGAAAGTTAAGAAAACAGAAGCCCAGTGGTACCCAAATATGATGGCATACGAGTACAGCAGCAGTCTGCAAAGGATCTACATAAAGTCGTGCATTCAAGAAAATCTTATAAAAGATGATTTGAGAGTGTTCTGTATATTTCCAAAAGTAGAATTCTTAGCAAGCCCACAGCAATTATTTCCAACTAAGAAATCGAGAAATACCTCAGAACTGAAAGAGAAAATATCAACGGAAACAAGATTTGTACTGACCAGTGTTATCGTACAACCAATAAATAAGTTTTGCTGTAAAAATCCAATAGAAATATAGTGCAATATATAATATTTATAATTTTTTTGTCTTTTTAATTTTTAATAAATTTATTTCGATTTATGCAGTTTGAGGGAAAGCGTAACAAATTGTGGAAAAAATTACTTATTTATTATTTAGTTATTAATATTAAGGTTTTAGCTTAATTATACGAGTATGCATCGTTATTGCATATTACTGTTAATATACAAACATATGCATACAAGTAGGCGGTTAAGTATTCACTTAAGTTATCGTTATCGCACTGTCACAATATTTATCTGGGAAAGGAGCAGCCAAAGAATGTTTGGAGACATTATAAATTGTTTTTTTTTTTTTTTTTTGGTTTTTTGATTTTGTTTTGGTATTTGTTACAACTGTAATTGTATATTATTTATTTTGTATACAGTATATGTAATAAGTATGTATACGCGTATTTGCGTTTTTTGTACGTATGCATTTATTGCGTGTTTCGTGCGACAATTACTCGTTAATTACATTATTTTCGCTTTAGCTGATTATTATTATTGTATCATTCTTATTTTATTTTCTTATGTTGCTTTGCTAATATTGCTGCTTGATTTTTTTGTTTTCATTTCATTTAGGAGTTTGTTTTTTCAATTCAACTTCTTTGGTTAAATTGAGTGACTTCGTGTTTATTGCTGCTTGCTGCATTTGCTTCATTTGCTTTTTCTGCTTTACTAGATATAATTGTTTATACACACACATACATATGAGTACAATATTTTATTATTGATAAGTTATATTTTAGAAAAAATTAACTAATACATACAATACTTTCATGTATGAGTGTACATACATACATATGTACCGATACAGTTTACATATATATGAAGCGTTTGCTTAAAAATAAATGCCTTTTCGAAAATGTACTAACTCACTTGAAACCATTTCACAACGTAAACATCCGAGTTTCTGTTTCTATGTGACTTACATTAATTAATTATATATTGTAAGTGTTTTTTTTTGTAATTTTTTTATTTGTTTTGTGTTTGCATAAATTTTTGCCTCGGAAGAGCTAAGCACTGTTATATGTTATGTTTGTTTTTATTGTGAATTTTAAATTATTTATTTTTCCCTACATGCATTGAATGTGTATTTGTGTTTTTTAAAATTATTGTTGTTGCATTTTGATTTGAGATTGCACTTCTTACTTACATGTCTTTCTACGTACAGATGGGCATGAAAATAAAAAGCCCATTTTATGTGCGCGTTGACTGCACAAACGGCTGAATTGAATTCTGTTATATGAATTGTATGTTTTGGAAATTATTTGAAAAATGTTTT